ATTTTCTAGAAGTTTTGGTGTTTTTTTAGAAGTAGCATTTCTTCCAGTAACATTTTGTAGAATTCATTAATAAAGCCATCTGAATCACTAGTTTTCCTTTTTGGAAAGTTTTAGCTATGACTACAATTTCTTAATAGATACAGGACTATTGGAACTCTTTACTTCTTCTTGAGTGAGCTTTGGTCATTTGTGTCTATTAATATATTTTTTTTCATTCCAGCAACAAACTTATTCTAAATTTTAGAATGGTTTGTTATACCAGATTCATTCATTAATTCATCACATTATCTTTCAGTATAGATTTAAAATGCCAATTTTTTTTTGATTCTGTTATATACACTGGGTATGATGATATCACCGGACTGTAAGAAATCAGAATCTAGTATAGAAGAAAATTATGTTACAATATTTAGAGTGTAGTGTGACAAGCACTATCTTATATAGATGTTAGGCATTTACAATGACTGTAGAAAGAGCTTTCTACCTTTGTAGTAAGTACTACTTACTGTGCAGGGCTATATAGCGCTTCCTATGCACTATTGTATAAGCGAGTAGCATTCTTCAAACAATAAGGACGTATTTTTAAATTTTTATACTATAAATATATAAAATGTACAGACTTCTCCAACAAGTTTCATTACTTTATCTGGTTCATTCTACTCTGGCTACACTGACCTCTTTATTAGTTGTATCTTATTCCTCACATAGGTCCACTTTGGAGTCTTTGTAACCACAGATCCGTCTACCTGAAACATCTCATTTGGATTAATCCCTAAATCCTATCTCCTTGGAAAGACCTTCCCTAGCCACCTTGATTGAAATTATGATTCTCTCTCCTGCTCTATCTGCTCACTCTTTTTAATTTTTTTCATAACATTATATGACAATATTCCATATATTTTTTGTTTATTTGTTTATTTTCTGTCTCACAAGCTCTCTTTAGTACACAACCTCCATGAAAGGAGGGACTTTATTTTGTTAACTGCTTTGTTTTACTTACTGCTTTATCTACAGTGGCTAGAACAGAACTCAGCACATCACAGACATGCAATAATTATGGAGCAAAGAAAGGAAGGGATATCCACCTTTTTGGAAGGTGGAATTTTTTATAACAAGTAGTATACTCATTTATAAGAAGAAAATCTTGCTTTGATTGTGTGACCTCCTACTAAATTTGAGCACACTACAAAATTTGTCTGAGTTTTCATTTTTTTAAATCTCTTAATTTAAATGTTCAACTCTGCCATCAAGTACATTAATTTCTTATGTTTGAAATGTTTCAGTGTTCCAACTCTCAATGATCACTCTTTCTCTTTCGTTTCTAATAAAACTGTTGTTCAATATGCTACATATTTCTATACTCACTATACCAAAAAGTAATTTGAAATTTATTTAAAGTTTTAAATTTGTCTTTTTTCCTGAATAGAGTGACTGCATTGAAGGGACTCAATCTTATTTCCTAATTAGCCAGATTCAATGGATCAACTTCTTTATCCTCAGACCACCATAATGAAGATATCTTAGGCATCTGATTGAAATATGACATTTTGTGGTCATGTATTGAAGGTTCTCCCTTTTCTTAACTGGATAAGAGCATATAGATGCTTGAAAAACTTTGAATCAGCTCTTTACTTCAGTTCCATATAATTTATCTAACATATAAAGGCAAAAAGTCAAGTGTTCTGTCTGTGGTTTACCTAAGATTTCCACACTGACTGGATCTTCCATGCATTCCACTTGGGTTTTCCCTCAATTGGCAAAATTTGACCTATTCAGACAAGCCATCTTCTCATATAATCCATTCTTTACCCCTTTCCAAGTGTGGTGGTCTCTTATATCTCCTTGTGAATCATAAGCTCTCTTCAGCTTCTTCCTCTTTTGTCTCAGAAATTTTTCTAGCCTCCAGCATTACAGTTAGGTCACTCCCGTTTCACTGGAGTAGAGAGAGGGATAGGAGAAATTCAGGCTTCAAAGATGGATCAGAAAAGGAGATCCACCATGGTGCTATGCAATAGGAACAGAGAGGCAGTTTATCTTGTCTTTCTTCTTGACATCAGATAAAACAAACAAATAAAACAGAAAAAAACAAATTTTTTTCTCAGTTAGAAATGTCAACATTTGAGTAATCTTTATGGTCTTATTTTTGCTGGAAGGGTGTTCTTTCCTTGTCCTTAAATTTCATTTAAAAGACATTTTATTTGCCCCTTTCGTATGTTGACAGGGCAAACGGAAGAAACTCGAAGACAAGGATTATATGCTCTATTTTATAACTATAGCTTTGTCAAATCACGTGTCCTGTGTAGAATAAATTCTTGATGTAGATGATGATGAAAATTAAAATAAAGTCTATTTCTAAATATAGCTGTTTGTTTTTTATTTAGATAAGCTTAATATTGTTCTTTCTTATAATTCTAGTTTTACTTTTTTTTCCCTATTTTATTCAAACTTCATAAAATCCATTCACAGCCTCCCTCCATTTTGTTTCTATCTCTGCAGTGAAAAAGTAGAAATTTTTTTTTGAGGAGGAGGATTTTCCCTGAGCTGACATCCACTGTCAATCCTCTTCTTTTTTTGCTCAGGAAGATTGGCCCTTAGCTAACATCCATGCCCATCTTCCTGTGCTTTATGTGGGATGCCTGCTACAGCATGGCTTGATAAGCGGTGCCTAGGTCTGCACCGGCGATCCCAACTGGCGAACCCTGGGCTGCCTAAGTGGAGAGTGCGAACTTAACTCCTGCGCCATTGGACTGGCCCTGAAAACGTAGAATTTTTAAAATTTATATTTTAATGTGCACTTATTCATATTTAATAATATCTTTTAAAAAAACTGTCATTTCTCTTATTTCTGATAGCCTTTACTCCTAAAGTCACCTGTGGAATGTGTGGCACTTTATGCATTCTCTCTAATTAGATCCACACAGCAGCCTTGAGGAGACGGAATAGTACTACTCTCCTCATCTTACTGTTGCCGGATGAGAGAAGTTAAAATACATCTTAATTCACAGACTGAGGTGGCAGAGAGATAGAGCTGAGTTCTGCCCTGTTCTTCACATTCTATCAAGAAGCCCCTCTGGAATGATACAGCCAAGTCTTCCAGTACTGAATAGTCAGGAGCTATGTAAAAGAAGCCACTCACTAAAGACTACCTACTCTATGATTTCATGTAAAATTTATATGAAATTCTATAAAAGGAAAAACCATAGTTTGCTTTCTGGCAGATCAGCGATTGCTTAGAAGCAAGGATGGAGGCAGGGATTCGCTGCTAAGGGACACAAGGGGGCTTTTTGTGGTGGTGGGAGTGTTCAGAACTTTGACCGTGGTGGTAGTTAAATGACTGTTGCCCCAAATCTATTGAGCTGTACACCTAAAATGAAGGAAAACTTTTAGATGTTTATTACACCTCAACAGAGTCTAAAAGATAAAAATTGTCAGGATACTGTTACCTGTGTATCAGAAACATAAACATACAATTTGTTTTATTTAATTTCTTGGCCGCCATGCTTATCAACCGACTTTTTTAATGCTTTGCCTTTAAATTCCGTGGTAACTGGATTAAGACTGAGCAGATGTTAAAAGTTCAGAGCTGTGTGTTTTTCTCCCCTGTGACCTGATGTGCTGATCATTAGGGCACCGTTGTTATTTAGAACATGGAATGAGGTCACATTTCTCCCTGGTGGAGAGTAAATAGTGAGTGTCTTCAAAAAGTACCTGGCATTTAATGCCTAATCCTTAAGATTAGTTTATGTTAAAAGAAAAAAAAAAAAAAACAAGAAATGCTTACTTTATCACAAAAGGATTTGACCAACTTTTTCTGGTTAACAATTTTCTATATGTCCAGCCATATACATTTTAAAATAGGAAAGCAAGAGCATATTAGACGAAAGTCTTAGATAGTGGGTTGAAGCAATATAAATAAAAAGATTTTAAAAGTAGATAAAGTATGCATGAGCTTAGGTTCTTTTTCATTGATCCTTCTCATTCACAGCCTTGTAAATAACTTGAAACGATTTTTCCTTACCCATTACTATTTTGTCTGTGATATTAGCGTTAGTACTACGTGACAAAAGTTATTATTGGAAAGGACAAATAAATAAAAGAAAAAAGCAACATAATGAATCTCCATGGGTCTGACATTCAGTTTCAACACAGGCAATATATTTTTCTCCCAGTCTACATCCACTCTCCATCGCACACCACACCCTAGATACCTTTTTCAGCCAAATCCTAGACAGCACTTTATTGCATTCATCAATTCTGCAAGATGTATCTATAAAATACACTTTAAAAATCATAATTCCAATATTTTTATTGTTGCTAAAGTAATTAAGTTTAATCCTTTAATATTATGAAATGTACAGTAGTCACATTTCCTCCAATATCTCATGGTATTTTAACTTACGATCAGTTTGTTTGAATCATGAAACAAAGTACATACAATGCATTTTATTGGTATGGCTTAAATTGTTTTTAATTTATAAGCTTCGCATCCTTTTTTTTCCTTAATTTATTCAATAAAGAAACCAACGTCACTGATCTTTTATAATTTTGCACATTCTGGATTTTCCTTTGCGTCACTTTCTGTCACTTAAGGTGGTCTGCATACTAATTTATTTCCTGTAAAAAGTAGTTATTTTTAGAAGGCTGATCAAATTTGTTCTATTTTTTGATAATAATACTTTATAGGAGGAATTGTGAGCTTTCTATTGTATAACATCAAAAGATACATCATGTCTAGTTTTTATTCTTATTATTCTTATTGAGACTGATCTAGCCAGCTAGATTTTCCTTTTTTTCACTATTAATATGAACTCAGAATAATAACAATACCAATATTTTTACTAAAATTAAGATTACTGAAAAAATGTAAGATGTCCATGCACTTTTTCTTTACTTTCCATATTATATTAACTTTAATATTTTTCATATGTATCTATGTGTTTTTATTGTGGTAAAATACACATAACATAAAATTACCATTTTAACTGTTTTTTAGTATGCAGAAAAATATGAAACGTTTCATTAATTTACATGTCATCTTTGCACAGGGTCTATGCTAATTTTCTCTGTATCATTTTAATTTTAGCATGTGTGCTGCTGAAGTGACACCTTGCTTTTCTTTTTATCTTTAGGATATATCTGAATATCAAACTTAATCTATATTTCAAATTATAATATCTTAAAATCCTATTAATGAATAGATCAGATAGCCTTTAAACATTTTTCATTACCAACACGTTTCACTGTTCTGTCATTTGTCTATGTGTTGATTATGACGTTTATTTGTGGTGGATATTTTTTTGACAAATTACATAATTAAAATTATTAATTTTATCCTATGTTGATTTTATTTTGTGAATCACAGTTAAGACTGTTTTCCCTGCTTTCAATTTCTAGGTGAATTCATACATATTTTCTTCTAATACCTGCATGCATATTGTGAAGATAATTTTTTCTTCATATAGCTATGCCATTATTCCAACACTACTAATTATAAATATTTTTTACTCACTGATTTCTAATGCCATGTTTAAAATAAATTTTCATTTGCAAATATGTCTATTTCCAGATTTTGTATTCTGGTCCATTCATATTCTGATATCTTACTCCCTTAATTATAGAAGACGTACAATACATTTCACATAGTGGGAGCCAGAACATCCTTTTCATGGTTTCTCTCTCAGCTTGCTTGTCCTTTCAGATGAATTTATCATTAACTTTTCTAGCTTAAGAAAAGAAAAGACAGTGTTTTAATTGCAATCATATTAAATTTACAAATTGAAGATTTTCGTTGATATTCATATACATGATTGGTTTGCAGATTCCTTTAGTGAAATATTTATCAGGTTTTGTAATCAACATTACACTCACCTTATAACAAGAATTTGGAAGGGTTTTTTTCTCTTTATTTACGCTTTAAAACAGTTTAAGTAGTACTTTGATTATTTCTAGTGTTGTTTAAAGCAATTCACTTTTGAAAGCATTTGGAGCTTAAGTTAAATAATTTTACCATAATGTGTCTTGATTTTGGCTCCTTGTGAAAATTTTCTCCGAGACATGGCATTCCCTTTCACCATGAAGATATAATTATTAATTTATTTCAGGAAAGTTTTATTAAATTGCAGTTTTTAATATTTCTTTGTTCTTGCTTTTGTTGTCACTGTGTATATGTATGTATACATATATAAATATGAATTACTTTCTCTACTTTTTAATCACTTCCTCCCTCATTTTATGTCTTTCTTAACTTTTACTGGATTTAAAAATTCAATATCTTATTTTCCATTGTCTATTTTTTTCACTGCATCATTTATGATACCCATTAATTTTCATTGTTTACTTAGTTTGGTCTTCATTTCTGAAAATTTTTAAAGTTTATTTCTAAGTGATTCTGTAACTCAGTGAGCTGTATTTTCAAATGTTTTATTCTCAAATTTTATTTTTCTAGTTTTTATTTATGCTTTCCTTCATTTCTTAAATTCACTTAGTTTATTTTGAGATATTAAGCTACGATTTTTAAAAATCTATTGGGGGCTGGCCCCATAGCCCAGTGGTTAAAGTTCCACATGTTCTGCCTTGGCAGCCTGGGGTTTGTGGGTTCAGATCTTGAGTGCAGACACACTCCACCCATCAGCCATGCTGTGGAGGCATCCCATGTACAAAGGAGAGGGAGATTGGCACAGATATCAGCTTAGGGCTAATCTTCCTCAAGCAAATAAGGAGGAAGATTGGCAATGGATGTTAGCTCAGCATGAATCTTCCTCACACACACAAAAAAACTCTTTTGGGAGACCATGTTCTATTGGTATGTCTTGACTGTCTGAATGATGTATATTCTGCTCATAATTTCCTTTTTACCTAGAGTGAGTTGATATGGAATTCAATCATAATTCTATTGTGTTAGGAATATTTACATGAGATGGGTTTTCTTTTAGGTTTTTTTTTTTTTTGAGGAAGATTGCCCTGAGCTAACATCTGCTGCCAATCCTCCTCTTTTTGCTGAGGAAGACTGGTCCTGAGCTAACATCTGTGCCCATCTTCCTCTATTTTATGTGGGACACCTGCCACAGCATGGCTTGCCAAGCAGTGCATAGGTCTGTACCTGGGATCCAGACCAGGGAACCCTGGGACATCAAAGTGGAACATGAGAACTTAACCACTGCGTGCCGGGCCAGTCCATTTTGTAGTTTTGAAATTATCTTCCTAAGTATGGGAATGCGCCAAGATGATTTTCATAGCTTATGGCTCCAGGTCTTTCTGTATTGTGAAGCATCAAAAAATTAGTTCAAGTACTGTCTGAGAACAGTCTCTTTTGTTTTCCTTTTTTACTATTATCAGAATATTTTCTGTCTTTCTTTTTCTTTCTCCCTTTTTCTTCCACACCCCCTGCCCTAACTTTTTCTCTTTTTCTGCTTCATTTGTATTCTATTCCCAACAGTTTATCTTTTGCAGAGACTTTGCCCTTGAAGGAAACTTCTTTGGCTGGTTGGTTTCAAGCCTTCATGACACCCAGACAACCTCAGCAATGTCTAACATTCCCGAAGTCCCCTTGAACTCCCCTTTAAACAGAGACGGCAAGCCTCCTCTGCTGTTCAGCTGTTTTTCTCAGAGAGTTACACCTGACTTCTACTCCAGAGTGTCTTCTCTTGCTTTGGGAATGAATTGTTCTTAGCAATTTCTGGGTTTCCCAGCATCAGGGCTATCAGAACCTTTTCATCTTCTTTCTACTTCCTTTCACACAGTTAATTATACACACAGGTGTTGGTAGTTTGGCATAGCTCAATGGAATTTTGTGGTTTGTAAGAACATCATTTCACTACTTTGTTTAAAATGCTTTAATTACTTTATTTTACTTATTTAGTGCTTTAAAATATTTACTTTCTGTCAGAAGATTCAAGAAGACTTAAATACATTGCTATTCCACTAAGAGCATATTTTTTAACTAGCTTTATTTTTAAGAGCATTTTAGGTTCACAGCAATACCAAGCAGAAGGTGTAGATTGACTTTTGTACATTAGCCTGATATCCTGCAGCTTTGCTATGATCGCTTATTAGTTTCAGGAATGTTTTTGTTGATTCTTTTGGATTTTCTACATAGATAACCATATCATCTGTGAACAAAGACAGTTTTATTTCTTCCATTCCAATTCATGTCTTTTATTTCCTTTTCTTGTCTTATTGTGTTAGCTGGGACTTCTAGTACAATGCTGAAAAGCAGTAGTAAAGGGGACATCCTTCCTGGTCTTAGTGGGAAAGCTTCACATTTGTCACCAGTAAGGATGATGTTGGGTATAGTTTTTTGTGGATATTATTTATTAAGTTGAAGAAGTTCACCTCTATTCCTAACTTACTGAGAGTTTTTATCATGATGGATGTTCAATTTTGGCAAATGCTTTTTCTGCATTTATTGATAAGATCATGTGATTTTACTTCTTTACCTTGTTGATGTGATGGATTATATTTAATTGATTTTTGAACGTTGAACCATCCTTGCATACCTGGAATAAATCCTACCCGGTCATGATATATAACTCTTTTTTATATATTGTTGGATTTGATTTACTAAGATTTTGTTGAGAGTTTTTATGTACATGTTCATTGGTCTGTAGTTCTCTTTTCTTATAATGTTTTTGGTTTTGGCATTAGAGTAATGACAGCCTCATAGAATGAGTTAAGTATTCTCTCTGCTTCTATCTTCTGAAAAAGATTGTAGATAATTGGTATAATTTTGTCCTTAAATGATTAGTAGAATTCACAAGTGGACTCATATGGGCCTGGTGCTTTCTGTTTTGGAAGATTATTAATTATTGATTCAACTTCTTTAATAGATACAGGCCTAGTCAGATTGTCTACTTCTTCTTGTGTGAGTTTTGGAAGCTTATATCTTTCAAGGAATTGGTCCATTTCATCAAGGTTATTAAATATGTGAGCATAGAGTTGTTCATATTATTTTATTTAGTATCCTTTTAACATTCATGGGATCTGTAGTGATGTCCCCTCTTTCATTACTGATATTAGTAATTGGTAGCCTCTCTCTTTTTCTCTTAGTTAGCCTGGCTAGAGACTTATTGAGTGTATCGATCTTTTCAAAGAAACACTTTTTGGTTTCATTGATTTTTCTCAATTGATTTTCTGTTTTCAGTTTCATTGATGTCTGGTCTAATCCTTATTATTTATTTTCTTCTGCTTACTTTGAATTGAATTGTTCTTTTTTTCCCTAGGTTCCTAAGGTGGAAGCTTAGATTTTGACTTTATATCTTTCTTCTTTTCTCACATATGCATTCAGTGCTACAATTTCCCCTCTAAGCACTACTTTTGCTGCATCCCACAAATTTTGATAAGTTGTGTTTTTTTTGTTTAGTTCAAAATATTTTAAAATTTTGCTTAGATTTTGTCTTTGAATTATGTGTTACTTTTAAGGGTATTGTTTAATCTCCACATATTTAATGGAATTTCCCAGGTATCTTTCTGATATTGATCGCTTATTTAATTCCATTTTGGTCTGAGAGTAGACATTGCATGATTTCTATTCTTTTAAATTAGGTAAGGTGTGTTTTATGGTCCAGAATGTAATCTGTCTTGGTGAATGTTCCATATGAGTTTAAGAGGAATGTATATTATCATCAGTGTATGTTTTGTCTATTTCCTTTACTGAAAAAATAGTATTCTTCTCTCCTTTAGTCACACTTTCCTGCCTCTAGTAAGAAAATGTACTTAAATATTGAAATAAATGTATCCATAACTTACCCAGAGTTTCTGAATCAATCAGGGTACTTTTAGTCCATGCTCTATTGACAAAATAAATCCTGAAATCTCAGTGGTATAATACAATAAAGGTATGTAGTTCTTACTCATATACAGTCCAAGTCTTGTTGATTAGTTTCCTTGAAAATTGTCCTCTAACTAGTGACTCAAGAATCCTTGTGTCATATCAGGACTTCTCAGCAGGTAAGAGTGGTTATGAGGTTTTTTACAGAGCTTTGCCTTATGTCATTTCTACTCATATCTCTTTGCCAGAATTGGCACAAATCCTACAGCATGGGAATTGGAAAACATGGGGATGCTTGGTAAGCAATAAATATCTATGTCATATTCTTCACTTCTGGTCA